CTGTAATTTTATATTATTGTACATTTGATCATGCGCACAAGCATGCTTCACGGGCTTCGTGAAATATACCATTATTATTATTATTATTATAAATGTGAAACCTGAAAAAGGTGGGCACATTCTGTTTGTTCAGGTATTAGCAAAGACCACTATGTACTTTTTTGCGCAAATAGCTAGATAGAGTGGACTTATGAGCAGTGTAAGGACGCGGCCGGGTCTGAGTACGCGAAGCGAAAATCAGAGGCCACAGGCAAACCGAGCAGTGAGCGTCTCGAGAGCCCATAAACGTCGGAACCAACTGCAGGAACCTTGAGCACTTACACTGAGGTCGCCTCAAGTCAATAAAAGAGTAAACCTCAGGGAGAGAGTTCTTGGCACACAGTTTTGCCGAAGACTTGGAAGGCAGCAGCGGTATCTACACCGTTACAAAAGCCGCTACCTGTGGTCACCTCCAAGGTAAGTCAGGGTGTGAACCGTCTCAAGCCACACCGCGAGTCCAAACCTCGAGCGGGTAGGAATATTCCCTCCCATGGGAATAGATATCGGTTGGAAGAAGAGCTCCAGGAGCTGAAGAAGCAAGTGAGTACCCTACTTGCAGGAAGTATTCCCAAAGTTGAAATTCGTAGAAACGTCCTTATAGTTAACAATGAGGAGACCAATATAAAAGAATCCAAGGTCCGTAGGGAAATGGACAAGGGTAGAGTCCATGACATAATCAGATCAGCCGGGGCTCCGCCAAACTTGACAATTAGGAGGGTACACCGGGTCGGAAGGTGGAAAACACCACCCCTGGAAGCACCGCAGGCATCCACTAGACCCATACTCGTGAAGTTTTCCAAACCGCTAGATAGAAATATGCTACTATGCCGGGCAGACTTAGTTTGCAGTGTCACTAAAGGGCGCTATAAAATAGTCCCTGATGAACCCCGAATCAGGGAAATAAATAAAAGACCGTCAACTAACATGACGAGAAGAGAACGACTTGAGGCTAAGCTATTGAAACTACCCAGGGCACCACGGGTCTTAGCAAACCCGAATGTGGTAGTAATTGAGGATATCTTGGAACATCTCACCATAGTAAATGAGACTCAAATGGAATCAAATAATGCCGCATCCGGTCAGACAATATTGTCACTGGGACCAGCATACGTTTTCAAGCTCCCCGAGCTGGAGGAAACGGTGGTCTCAGTAGCGGCTGGCACCGTAGATCAGCCGAAAAACGGGCTGCCTACACTGGTTTTACGCCCGAAGAAAAAATCCGAGTGAACAAACACCACTCGTTAGGGGATAGGAAAGTATTAGTACTATTGCACGTCAATGCATGGAGTATTAGAAATAAGTGGGGAGGACTGGCTATAGCGGCTGCGGGGACAAAAGTTGAGGTGATTGTCCTGTCTGAAACGTGGCTAACGCAGGAAGACTACATACCCGAACCAGTTTTAAGCCAGTTCACAGTCCGCAGACAGGACAGAACAGGGTGTACACTGGGGGTGGTGTAGCTGTCCTAGTCAGACAGGATATACCCCATCCTCAAGACAAAACAGAGCAATGCAACCGAAATGTTCAGGTGTGCTCAATTTCGTTGGTTCCACCTTCGAGGAAGGTTAGCATAGCTGGAGTCTTTAGAAGCCCGGAATGCACACCCGAGGAGGACCAGGCACCCCTATGTACCTAGATAGCTTGTACAGACACTCACAATGAGCTTTTATATTAGGAGATTTCAATTTCCCAAAAATCGATTGTGAGGTTGAGCGGGAACCAACAGGAACAGCGGAGAAAGCATTCTTATAATAGATGCACTAGAGGGCTCTACAGCAACATGTCCGGGAGTGCACTATATACAGAGATGGAGATAGGCCATCTCTACTGGACCTACTAATTACGAAGAGGGAGAGGGATTTGATAAACATCAACCTCCATCCACCGCTGGGTAAAAGCCAGCACGTCGTTCTCACCGCAGTAATACGTTTCATGCATCGTAGGAGTAATGTTAGCATATCCAGGAACTACTGTACGATAGATGCGACAAAGCTGAAGACCAGACCTGTGGAGCGGATGTAGGCCCCTATCCATGAAAAAACTCCGTTGACCAGCATTGGGGCCGGGTCAAGGCAAATATCTTGCTTCTGCAGGATGAATGCGCTCCCCTTAAACCCAGGGCAGCGAAGAACAAACCACCTTGGTGGAACCCAGCGATTAGAAGAGCGATACAGCGTAGAAATAGGAGCTGGTACACTTATCGATCAATGAGCAGCCACCGATCCTGGGCGCAGTACACCAGGGATAGAAAAAAGCATTGGCAACTCAGCGCGAGCTCAAATGACAATATGAGCTCAAGTTGGCAAAATGTGCCAAGTACCAGCCAAAGAGGTACTTTCGTTATGTCCAATCTAAGAGAGGGCTCGGTGAAAAAAGGGCCCCTGATATTGGACAATGGAGACGTAGTAGCCCGGAATATGAAGATAGCAGTGCGATTTAAGGAATACTTCAAAAGCGTACATAGAATAGACCAAATCATCACTACACAACCTAACCACCTTACCTCTAGACTGGATATCCCCGAATTACACGTGGGGCTGGAGCAGGTTCGTAGGACTCTTGGTGAGCTCAACGCCACCAAATCCGCAGGACCAGATGGCATCCACCCGGCCTTAGTTAAACACATAGTTGAGGTTCTAGAGGGCCCACTCTGCCACCTGTTCAACAAAACTTTAGAACAGGGCAGGATACCACAGGACTGGAAAACGGCAACTGTGGTCGCCATACACAAGGGAGGGCCGAGACAAAAGGTGGAAAACTACCGTCCAGTTAGTCTCACAAGCATCTTGTGCAAAGCGCTAGATCGAATTATCAGAACCCACTTATGCGAATACCTCACTTAGCACCGATCGCTGATTGCGGCACAGCATGGGTTTCTGAAGGGAAAATCCTGTCTGAGCAATCTCCTGCACTTTTTAGATGAAGTCACAGCGAGATTAGACATGGGTGAGGAGGTGGCAGTATGCTATCTGGACTTTAGCAAAGCATTTGACTCAGGATGTCATCGCTTACTTTTGGCCAAGATACATGCTCTAGGGATAAGGGGGAACCTCCATAAGTGGTTAACAGCTTTCCTGGCCGATAGGACCTTCGTGGTTCGGGTCGGGGAAGCGAACTCGCCAATGGAAAATATTGTCAGTGGTGTTCCTCAGGGATCAGTTCTAGGTTCACTCCTATTCTTGCTCTACATCAATGATCTGCCTGAACGCCTTGGCTCACCTAGCTATATATTCGCGGACGACGTCAAGGTGGTAGGATCAAATGGGAGAGTGGAGATGAGGAGGGACATGGAAGTGCTGAAGTGGTCAAGTACATGAGATCTGTATGTCAACATGGGAAAGAGTCATGTCTTGACCACTGGAGACCAGGGGCTGAGGGTGGGGAGTAGTCATAGCGGTCTTTCACGTGCAACGACACAGAAAGCTAGAGATTTAGGAATCATAGTGACAGCAGATTACAAATGGGCAGAACAGTGTGCCGCAGCGGCTCACCGTACCCGTCGCAGGCTTCTTAGGTTGAGGTCGGCACTAACATGAAGGAAACCGGAGTTATTCGTACCTCTTTACAAGACCATTGTTCGACCGCATTTGGAGTATTGTATACAAGCCTGGGCTCCCTTCTTCAAAAAGAAACGCCGCTTGTCTCGAGGGGGTCCAACGATTAGCCACGAAGATGATCG